AGGTGCTGCTACTGCTACGTTTGCTGCTGCCGGCGCTGCCGGTGCCGCCGCTGTTGCCTGGACTGAAGGCGGAACGCGGCAGGCAAGTAGGAGTGTGTAGAGCAAACGAATGATAAGCGCTGAGTCACCGGGGGTGAGGTCAGCAAAGGACCTCATCAACATGCACAGGTCGTGAGGTGTCACTGCACCTGCAGCAGCATCAGTAACAGAAACAGCTCCGCTTGATTCTGCTTCTACATGTGCCGTTGCTCTCAAATCATGAGGCGCATCTTCAGAACGTGGCGTCAACTGAGGCGCAACCGGAGCAGCAGAAGCAGAAGCAGTAGCAGCAGCAGCAGGCGCTGCTGCTGCTCCTCCTCTGTAGGGTGCAGCTGCTGCAGCCAGCGTACGCCTGACGAAGACGTCAAGGCGGTTGAGAACCTCCTGCCTGAGGCCCAAAATCTCAGCGGGCTTCAGGCGCTGCGCAGACACCCCCCGAAGCAACAGTAACAGCAGCAGCAGCATGTTCTGTGGTTCTAGGAGGAACAGCGGCTGCCTATGTCGTCGCAGCAGCAGCACAGGTCCTCGCAGCACAACAGTTGTCTACGTGCCGGGGGCCTTTCTGTCGAAGGCCCCTAGCTAGCACTGTGCCACTATCTAAATACTAGCAAATCACCATACAGCTTATAGTGACTTGCTTGTATTCAGATGGTGGCACACTTAAAGCGCTGCGGTTGCTGCTGCAGTGCTGCTGCGCGCTGTTGCTGTTATGACGGACTGTTCGTTGCAGCGAAAGCTAGGGTTTAGGGTTTAGGGTTTAGGGTTTGCCCACCTCTACGCGAGCAAAGGCCCAGAGGATCATCGACAGGTCCGCCAGGCAAAGGCCCTTTGCCAACCGCACAGCCTCCGCGCCTGCAGTCACAAATTAAATCCTAAACCCCAAACCCTAAGCTCTAAACCCTAAACCCTTAACTCTAAACCCAACCCCCTACACCTTAACCCCTAAAACGCCAAGCCGCTGCCCCTATACCCTGAATTGCGGACTTGTCAAGAAACATGAAGGTAGAAGGGTTCGTCTCTAGTGTGATCAAGCACCTAGGGTTTAGGGTTTAGGGTTTTTGTCTGCATACCGATGAGTTCCCACACGGGGGGCTGCGTGACTCCATTCTTCGCCAGGCCCCATGCACAGACGGCAAGCTGTTTGCTGCTGAGCTGCTGTTGCTGCAGCAGCGGCTGCAGATGCTGTGTCAGTTGCCACAGAGCCGGACTGTACCCTATGACCCCAAGCCTATGGGCACAGCAGAAGCAACAACAACAGTAGAAGCAGCAGCTGCAGCAGCAGCAGCAACCGCAACGTGTCGCGCTGCAGTACCACCTGCTGTTCTCCCCGTTTCCCTTTCTGTTGACCTCCCTAGATCTATCACACTTGCTGCTGTTGCTACTGTTCCTGCTGTGGCTGCTGCTGCAGTCCTCACCGATGGATGGTGAGGTGTATGTACGGCGCCTGCAGCAGCTCCTGCTGCTGCAGCGCAGCAGCAACAAATGCTCTGAATGAAGGGCTCCGAAGGTCCAGGCGACGCCGCGTAGACAGCAAAGAGAGAGCAGCCAGCCAGTCCCTTCGTTTCATCTTGCCTTGAGAAGCAACAGCAACACAAGCAGTAGCAGAAGCAAAGTCAAAAACTCAAGTCGCAACAGCAGCAGTGCAGTGTGCAACACCTAGGAGAAGTTCTCTAGACACCCAAGCGAAGCAGTAGCAGCACCAACAGCAGCAGCAGCAGCGAGAGCAGCGTGACCAGCAGAGCCCTTAATACCCCAGCAACAGTAGCAGCATCAGTAGCACCAGCAGCAGCAAGAGCAGCAGAAACGTACCCCTGTGCTGCTCGCATGCCTTGAAGAAATCCTCCGCCTCCCGAAACGTCTCCAGCCCGTGGGCAAGTGGGGTGTCTGGACACCACCGGACGATCTTAGCAAACCGCTGCTGCTGCTGTTGCCACGGCTGCTGATACTGTTGATGCTGTGCGAACTGCTGCACCAGCATCTGTTGCTGCAGCGGCTGGCGCTCCTGCAGCTGCTGCGGCTGCCCAGCGGCTACGCAGTTGCCGCAGCTGATAGCGGCGCGAACGCGCACCCATGGGCGTTGGCCAGCAACAGCAGATGCGGTTACTGCAGCAGTTGCTGCTGCAGCGTTTGCTGCTGCAGCGGTTGCTGCCCTGATGTTTGTGCATACTCCATGACGCCCCAAGGTGAAGCTGGCAGTGGACCCCCTGAGGCCCCTGCAGCCCACGTCCCTCACCGCACAAGCAGCAGCAGGAGCAGGGGATAGTGCTGAACTTGTTTGCGCTGCAGCAGCAGCAGGAGTAGCAACAGCAGCAGAAATGCAAAAGGATCTTGACAGAAGGAAACCGGCGGTCATCTGCGTAGCCGCAGCAGCAGCAGCAACAGCAACAGCAACAACAGCAGCAGAGGTCCGCCTGCCGTTTCGTCTGGCCTTGCTGCTGTTCCGGCTTCGAGGACCCTTCTTGTTTCTTTACGCGTTGTGTTGCCGTTGCAGTTGCTGCAGTCGTTGCTGCTGCTGCTGCGGTTCGCCGCTGTTCTCCGGGGTTTAAGCACTGCAAGCAGTCGCCTCAGACATAGCGAGAGTCTCTGCGGCAGTTCTACGGGTTTGAGGGGCCCTAGGGGCCCCTAAGAGATGCAAGGCTTCATAGGGCCCTGGGGGCCCCCTCTTGCCACGGCGGGTGACGCTGCAGCAGCACTGCCAACAACACCTCAACAGCTGCAGTGCAGAACTTCTGATCATAAACCAATAAAAACACTTATTTAATTTAGGAAGAGACAGAAAACTGCAAAAAGAAAATGGTGTGGGGCCCCCGCGTGCCTCACTGGGGGCCCCAGTGGGCCTCGTGGGCCTCCGATACTGCAGCACCAGCAACATTAGCAGCAACTGCAGCAGCAACTGCAGCAGAACTTCTAATTAGTTTTAGTTTGCTGCTTTCCTCATGGATCGCCTTCTGCTGTGTACATCTTTTGAGCCCACCGCTGCAGCAGCAGCAATGCCAGCAGCAGCAGCAACAACAGCAACATCTGCAGCTGCAGTAAGCTTCGTTGCGACTCAACAGCAGATCTCCCGTTAATAGTTCTGTTTGCGCCTCCGATGCCTTCACAAAGCCAATCGGATTTCATAGTGGGGCCACGTGAGCCAGCTCCATACATTGCAGCAACTGCAGCTACTCCTGCAGCAGCAACGAATGTTGCAGCAACTTCCTCTGCTGCGAGGCCGTACAGACGTGTGAGACAACAGCT